GGTTTTCCTAACTCTTCCTGCCAAACTAGAATTTCATCATTTGGGGACTTATAAACCTATCCTTAAGAATCTCCTTTAACTGCAGAATATGCTTTCAAGGCAATTTATAATTAACATATATTGGAAGACCTTAGAGGAGATATTAGCCTTGACCACCTGTTATACTTCAAAATACCTTGCCCAGATATGAATATTGGCATATGTCGAATTAATGCATTTTTTCCTAACGAATAAAGGTCTTTACGAAACCAAAGTTGTTTACAACAACCTAGAATCATAAGAAATACCTCATGGAGACACAGAGGCAGTATCTTTGAATCCATCTCCTCAACCTCTTCACGGAGCAAGGAGAAAAGAGACTGCAATGTTTGGTTTTGTTCTTTTTGGTCAAAGTTTTCATTTGCTTCAACAGCACGTTCAGCATGCATAGAATCTGTATCTGTAATAAGAGTATTTCCCTCCTTGATTGCTGTGGTTCCCACTGCAGAAACTCCTTTAAAAAGAACAAGAACTTAGGTTAGGATTCAAAAAAACAGGTCAAGTTGCTTTTTTAGGCATTTCAATACAAAAACTGTGAAGAAAAACCTAGTATCTTAAATAACATCCCTGCAAATAAATGAAATACTGGTCTTGTCAAAACCAGTTATGATAGTTCTGTCTCAGTGTCAGCCCAGCTACCTGAAAAAAACCAGTAACATATATCAGGTATTTTTGTACACTTCTAGCTAGGACTTGACTTCAACTTGGGGCAAAACCCCACCACCTAGTCTAAACTGTTCTGCAGAGTTTTGTTAAGAGAGACCAGATGATCTAATATAAAGTGTGGTGGATGGTTTTACAGTTTCAGCTAAAAAAAAAAATCAATACTTAGATCCAAGGGGAGAGACTTCTATGTTAAGACTGAGTTGTAACACATCAGAGACAGAAAGCAGGGTTGTTTGCAACACAGTTTTGCTCATAAAGGGGAAAAAAAAAAAAAAAAAGTAGTGGAGCAGAGTGCGAGTGAGGTTCTGTCTCTTCACTCCTGCCACAGACCTTACACAGGGAGATGTTGGAAGGGGAGGGAATGGGAAAAGTTCAACCTATTCTCCAGGTGATCATAGAATGGTTTGG